GTGTGTGTATGCTTTGGCTGCTTGCGTATATATATAAATACCACATGCATGCCTGGTGGCCGTGGGGACCAGAAGATGGTGTCGGATCCCATGGAACTGGAGCTATAGACAGTTATAAGTTGCATGTGGTTGCTAGAAACAGAACTTGGGTCCTCTATAGAGGCAGACAGTGCTCTTAACTGCTGAGTCATCTCTCCAGCCCCTACCTCAGAGGATTTTAATGTAACAAAAGGAAAGCTCCCTGCTGTGTTCACATGGTGCCTCTTGATTCTTGGGTTGGAAAATTACTTCCCAGTGTGCTAGATGGAAAGTAATGGGATCCAATAGGAAGAGATAGGGTCTCGGGGCAAATCCTCATGAATGGATCCATAGCATTACCATGGAGTTCCAGAGAGGGTTAGCTACTGTAAGAGTGGGTTATTGAGCCGGGCGTTGGTGGCGCACGCCTTTAATCCCAGCACTCGGGAGGCAGAGGCAGGCAGATCTCTGTGAGTTCGAGGCCAGCCTGGTCTCCAGAGCGAGTGCCAGGACAGGCTCCAAAGCTACACAGAGAAACCCTGTCTCGAAAAAAAAAAAAAAAAAAAAAAAAAGGGTTATTGTTTAGTCAGGTCTGCCCTTCCTGCTTTCTCTTTCACACGCTCACTTTCCCTTCCCCTTTAGTTATGTTATGTTCTGGGGGCCCTCATCAGGTCCCCGCACCACGCTCTTGGACTTCCCAGCCTCTAGTACTGTAAAAAACAAACTTCTTTTCTTCATGAACCACCCACTCTGCCTCAGTGAGGACTGGAAGCAGAAAGTCAGACAGCTTACACGGTTGCCCCAACAGTCCTGGTGAGAAAGGATAAGACTCGCCGGGCATTGGTGGCGCACGCCTTTAATCCCAGCACTCAGGAGGCAGAAGCAGGCAGATCTCTGTGAGTTCGAGAGCAGCCTGGTCTACAAGAGCTAGTTCCAGGACAGCCTCCAAAGCCACAGAGAAACCCTGTCTCGAAAAAACAAAAACAAACAAACAAAAAAAAAGGATAGGACTCAGAGCTGAGGAGGAAACCTTGATGCCAGGACTTCCTGCTGGGAAGGGAGGCATGAGCTTGGAGTGGACAAACGGGGAGGATTGGGACAAAAACTCCAGGTGGAAGGCGACAGAGGGGCTTGGTGACAGGTGCTGTTAGTCCAGGCTTAGCTGCCTCACTCCCCACCTGCTAGCTGCCACCTTTTAAACAAACAAAACACACAGTCAGGTAGAAAGTTGTGTGATGGGAAGCCTGTCAGCACATGGGGGAAGAGGTGGGAGCACAAGCAGGTGACACCTGGCCCTGCTGCCACTCCAGTGACACAGGCTGGAAGGGACCCCGCCCCGCCCCTGCAGAGTGGAGAACTATTGCTTCAGTGGCCTTCCCCAGCCAGGCAGAGGGAACAGAGTAGAGGACAAGCAAGGGTAGGAGGCCAGAGGCTACAGGAGGGTGCCCCTCACTTCCACCTTCAACCAGCTCTTGGGGAGCTTGAATAAGTGGCTGTGGCCTCTTCAGAAGGACACAGAGTTATCCCTGGGGGACAGTGGGATGTGGAGAATCTTTAGGCCAGCCTGTGCCTCTAGGTATGTCACTTCACACGTTTGGATGCAAGAGAGCTGACCCCCATCATGCCCTGAAGTGTATAAAGTGCCCTCATATTGCCACCTCATGCACTGAATATTACTCTTAAAATAGGTATTAGCTAGCATCGTGTGTGTGTGTGTGTGTGTGTGTGTGTGTGTGTGTGTGTGTGTTTGTGTGTGTATCCATGTAATATATCCCACACGCCTACAACAGAGTCTAGCATGTGACCACGCAGAAATATTTATTGAACAAACCTCCTTTTTTGTTTGTTTGTGTTTTGTTTTGTTTTTAGCTTTAGTTTTTGGTTTTCCAAGACAGGGTTTCTTTGTGTAACAGCCCTGACTGTCCTGGAACTCACTTTGTAGACCAGGCTGGCCTTGAACTCATAGAAATCCTCCTGCCTCTGCCTCCCAAGCACTGGGATTAAAGGCGTATGCCACCACCACCCAGCTAAAACCTCCTTTCTTGTGTTTTGACTTGTTTCCGTTTTACAAAGAAAAGGGTCTGAAGAACGAAAGAATCACCAGGCCAAGGAGAGACAGAAGCACAGTGAGAACCCGGGTTGAGACCATCAGTCCATGGATTTCAACACACCGCTACCTACAGGCACCTGCTGGGCAGACTTGGGCCTCAGGCTAGTGCTTCCCCATTGCCCACTCTTGGGTATTCCCTCACCTAACCAGCAAGCATTTCCTGAGCCCTCAGGAGGACCCAGGAAGGAGACTCTTGAGCAATAACTGAGCCAGCAGCGCCTACTCACGCCTGGTTGCAGGGGGCCTGGTTGAACCGGCAGGTGAAGATGAAGTTGCCCAAGGCTTCTTCCTCTAGGGATGGTGAGGTGTCGGGCAGTCTGGACAGAATGTTGATGTAATGGAAGCGGTACCACTCCCTCACCGCATCCACCCCGGATGAGTACGTCTGGTAGAAGCAGTCTGATTTGTTCTGATTGCACTGTGCACAGAGATCGGAATGTCAGTGCCCATCAGGGAGCCACCAGGGTCAAAGACTGACAGGTGCGGTGTTCTGAGGGCTGATGAGCAGATCTAGGGACCAGGGCGTAGGTGGAACAGAAGGGGGAGAAACACAGAAGCCCCTAGGAGAGTTGGCCAGGGGAGCACAGGACTGAGACAGCGGTAGGCGGGGTCTCCTCACTGTAGCTGACTTACACAACCAGGCAGGGAGAGAAGCAGGGGTTCTCCCCCTTTCAGTGGTGTGGAAACTCAGGGTTGAAGTGGTTTTATTCCCACAATAGAGTGGGCCTAGGACTCCAGTGTGCTGGTGGGGGGACCCATCTCTCCAGGGCCTCCCCTTCTCCTTCACTACCTGGTCCTCTCCGGTTTCCTCTGTTAGTCTACAGTTTGGGGTCTGGGGATGTAGCTCAGGGCAAGAGCCCTTGCCAAGCAAGGCAAGGACCTGGGTTATACACACACACACACACACACACACACACACACACACACCTCATTTTACTATCTAAATATCTAATTACTTGCCCTCTGTCACAGGCTTGAAGAACAGCCTTTCTGTCCCTGGAGGGCAACTGACCCCCATCAATAAGGACTAGAATTCAGGAATGTATATTTTCTCCAACAGATTTTATTTCCTGCCACTTATCCCCTGCCACATAAGCTGCCAGCAAAGTGGCCCAAGGGGCTGTAAGGTTCGGGTTTTTTGTTTCTTTGTTTGTTTTTGTTTTTGCATTGATTTGTTTATCTATTCGCTTATTACTTGCTCGAAAGTCCTCGCGGTCTGAGGGAGTGGGCGGGGCCATTGGACGCGGTGAGGGCGTGGGCGGGCCCTGGGCCGAGGGGCGGGGCTTACCAGTTGGAAGCCGATCTTCCAGTCCTTCCTGTCCACTTGGGGGTTATTGTCGCGAACACTGGAAGACGAGCTGCGTGCTGCGCGGGCTGGGTAGGGCGGAGGCGGTGCGTGCAGGCGCTGCAGGGGGTGCGGAAGAGCGCTCCTGAGGTTGCGGGTGCTGCGGCGGTGGGCCCCCGCCTTGAGCGTGTAGGAGGAGTTGTATTTGTATAGGTCAAAGAGCGTCTGTTCCGTGATGCGGTCCAGCTCTTCCAACTCCTCTTTAATTTCAGTGTATCTGAAAAAGCCAATGGGGAGCCGGGCGTTGGTGGCGCACGCCTTTAATCCCAGCACTCGGGAGGCAGAGGCAGGTGGATCTCTGTGAGTTCGAGGCCAGCCTGGTCTCCAGAGCGAGTGTCAGGATAGGCTCCAAAGCTACACAGAGAAACCCTGTCTCAAAAAACAAAACAAAAAGCCAATGGGGAGGAGGTCAGTCTAGGGGTGACCCGCCGCTGGGCCACGGTTTTCTCCATAAACGGAAGCGATCAGTCTATCAGTGACCGCTCTGATGACTCCAGAACGGTCTGGGAGTAGGGGTGTGAACAGATGTGTCTGCCGGGAAAGCTAGGCCTGGACTTTATTTATTGCTGCCTGTTTGCCCGGGATTGGGTGGGGGGGCAAGGAGGGCTCTTCACTCCCTTGGCCTGGCAGCTCAGGTCGTCCTGCCCCATCGTCTTGGGGGAGGGTGGCATTTGGAAGTGCCTGTCGAGGCTTCTCAGCAAATGTACTTTCAGAATCTCCCTGAACTGCTGTAAAAACACCAGATGTAGCACCCACCTTCCCCTTCTTCAGAGACTTCCCTTTAATGGGATTTGGGAGGGACCCAAACACTGTTCCATAAAATCCTACGTTCCTCATTCTCAATACCAGCCCTATTCCTATCTGCATGATGGACATCCGCATAGCTGGCCTCACAGTCTACGAAACAAATCACAGATGGCAAATTAACCAGCCTGCAGGGTGCAAAACCAATACACAAATATTAATTGTATTTCTAAATACTGGAAACAAGTAGAAAATGAAAATAACACCACACTGGGGCTGGAGAGATGGCTCTGCAATCACCCCATGCTCTTCCAGAACCTGAGTTTAGTTCTCAGCACCTACATCTGAGCACTCACAAACCCTGTAACTCCAGTTCCAGGGAAATCTGACTCCCTCTTCTGGCCTCCAACCACACTCACACATGTGGCATACACTCACAGACACAAACATGTACATATAAATAAAATAAATATTCAAAAATAGCATCTTAAGTAACTGATAAATTTAAGAGTAAATCTGGGAAAAAAAAAAAAAAGGCTAGATTTCTTACACTGAACAGCACACTGGAACCCTGCTAAAGAGTCAAAACCTAAGAAGTCACACAGCCGTTCAAGTGTCACATGTCACCATGCCTCCCAACTTGAGTGTTAGATTCCATACAATCCAGACTCCAAATTCAGCAAACATTTTAAAAGGAAGTGGCAGGTGGTTCTAAGATTTCTATGGAAATGGAAAGAGTTTCTACAAAGCTCAGGCTGACCTCAAATTTGGAATCTTCCTGCCTTAGCCTCATGAGCAGCTGAGCTTACAGGGACATGCCACAAAGCCTGTTTGCAAAGAACCTGCTGTGGCCAAAACAATTGTGGGAAAGAAAAGACCTGGGGGATTTATACTACCTGAGTTTAATATTTACTGTAAAGCAGGCTGGAGAACTGCCTCAAGAGGCTAAGAGCACTGGCTGCTCTTCCAGAGGACCTGGGTTCAATTCTCAGTAGCCACATGGCAGCTCCCAGTCAGCTGTAACTCCAGTTCCAGGGGATTTATCCTCTTTTAGCCTCCACAAGCACAGCATAAACACGGTGCAAAGACAAGCATTCAAGCAAAACACCTATACATCACTACTATTAAAATATAATAATAATAATTTTAAAATATTTACTGTGCCAAGCATGGTGGCATACATCTTTAATCCCAGCTGCAGGCAGATCTTGGAGTTCTAGGTCAGCCTGATGTACATAGTGATTTCCAAGTCAGTTAGGGCTACATAGGGAGAACTTGTCTCAAAAAACAACACATATAATATATTTGAAAGCCAAATTGACTGGAAATGTCCAATATCTTGACTATTAAATGTTACTTAAAGAAAAATTCAAGAGTCTAGTGTGGCAGTACAATCCTTTACTCCCAGCACTCTGGAGAAGCAAGCAGATTTCTGAGTTCGAGGCCAGCCTGGTCTACAGAGAGAGAGTTCCAGGACAGCCAGGGCTACACAGAGAAACCCTGTCTCGAAAAGAAAAGGAAAGAAAAGAAAAGAAAAGAAATCTCCCAGCACCAGTGAAATGAGCCACTGCCGGAGATGTGGGATTAGTACGTCTGGAGTCTGACCATTTTGCTTTGTTTTGTTTGTTTCTGTGGTCCCCAGGATCAAACCCAGGGCCTCATAAATGCTGGGCACTCCCTCCACCCTCCACCACTGAGCTATACCTGTACCCCAAGGCTATCTAAAAGCTCATCCATGGTCCTAATGTACCACCACCTAGTTCAAAGCCTCCCAGTCCTTGCCTTTGAGCTCTGTTTTCACCCTGAAAGTCCAGCTGGCTGGACCCTAAGCAACCCCCTTTTTGTACCCAGCCCCTCATCCCTTCTCAGGAGAGAACAGAGCTCAGGTCCAAGGTGTGTGTCCAAGGCCTTCTGAGAGACTGATTCGGCATTGATTTCAAAAATGGCCATGCCAGCTAGTATGAGCACTTAGATACATCCATCACATATACCGTTCAATGATCTGGGCTAATACCATCGTGATGCCCTTTCCAAGATAAAAGGGCCAAGACATGAGTCAGAATGTGCTCCAACCTTGGGTGTCCTCTTTTTTGTCACTGGAACACACACACACACACACACACACACACACACACACACTGCCCCCTGCTGGAAGGGCACTCTGGTGCCCCAGCTATGTATGTTGGGTAAGGAATCCAACTTTTATGATTCCCAGCCTTGGCCGCCCATCTGTAGAATGGGCATAGGTCAGCCTGCTACAAAGTTCTAGAAAGATAAAATGAGGGAATACTCAGGGACACAAAGTGAAGGTGGCTAGGAGGACAAGCAGGAGCCCGACGCCTAGGGAAGTGTCTCTTCACTTTCTCAAAGTCGTCCAGGAGGGATTCAGGTCCCCAGCCCTGCTGGAATTATTTTTTCGATACAAGTCACCACCTTCATCTCCCTTTTCCTCACCACTCTATTGCCATTTCTCTGCCTTCCTCACTGAGCCCATGTTATCCCTGAGCCAAATTCTTCTCAGTGACAATCCAGGCATTCAGCTTCCTCCGGCCTCTTCTGGACTGCGTGCCAATGAGCACACAGCCTAACAGTCTGGTCTCCCAACCCTTGATCCTGTCCCCAAGTCAAGTTCCATGCAGGGATTTCTCCCTCCCCAAGGACACTTCTCTCCGGTAGTATTCACATGTCACCTTCCTAAGCACTTGTCTGACAGAACTCAGAGCCTCTGACTGGCACTAGTGCTGAGCTGACTGCTGAGCAGAGCACAGTAAGCATTCAGGTCTTACCCTGAGACCAGGGGCTAGACAGGAGTCAAGGCACTTTCCACGGATGCTCATGAGATGGTCGGGCCCCATGCAGCCTTGACTTTCTTCCTGGGCCATGCTCATTGCCCTCACTCCTGTCTGTCTGTCTGTCTGTCTGTCTGTCTACTAGGCAACCCACCTGTGGGAGGATGGAGGTGGGTGAACTCCCTGCTCCCAATACAGTTCTGTCAGACCTTACTGTCTTCATTCCACAACTCAGGAAACCAAAGCCCATCTATAGGCAACTACCAGAAAATACCAACTTCCAGAAAATACTAATGGTCACTCTTCCAGAAAATACTAATGCTAAGCTTCGAATTTAGGCTTGTTGGATTCCATAGTCCCTAATTTTTCCACTACTGGCTAAGGAGTGTTTAAAATTAGTCATCAGCATCTCCTTTCCCTGAAGGTAGCCTCCCCTCTGACTCTCCTCTGTAAACAGGCTGGCAGGATACAGGGATCCTAAGAGGTTTGGGGACTGACACACCTATTTTCCCATCTATGTTTATCCCATATATTTGATGGGCTCCAAAACACCTACCCAGGGACCTCCAGAGTCTCAGGCAGCATTCTGGAACACCTGGCAGAGCTGGGAATGAGAGACAAACCAGTTTCCTTCCTTGGCGGTGTGTACCTGTGTGCTTAGCCCTGCTCTCAGCTTTGTCCAGGAAAGTCTTGACCTTTCCCAGTCCCTTGTCTCCCAAGCAGCTCTGAACAATGCTAAGGGGGCCTCAGCTTGTATCACAGTACAGTCACGTGTAGATGCCCAACACGTAGCCCCTCTCCCTCTTGGATGGGTTCTGAGATCCCACATGGAGCTCAGTCCCAGCCATGGCAATTTAAGAGCCCAAAGTGCTCCCAAGCTGTTGAGAGGAAGGACAGCCAAGGTGGTGAGTGTGGATGCCATGCTGAGACAGATGGTTATGCTGAATTCTTCAGGCCTCACTACAGGATTGTTTTTGCCTCTGGGCAGGCTGGGCTCAGGGGAACCGCTATTGCCTCTAAGCGGTATCCATTATTTCTTTAGGAAGAGTTGGCCAAACAAACTTGGCGGCAATCTCTCTTAGGCTGTCGCGATGAGGCTGTGTAGAATTCCACATTTTAATGAGCTGGTCCAAGCCACATAGAATCTGACCCCCAGTGACCTAAGACATCTTTTATGGATAGCCAGTCCCCAAAATAACAACTCATCCTGTAAAACGTTTTCCTCGGCAATACAGCGAGGTGTTTTCCTTGTCATTAAAGTATGACGGCACACATAGATAGCAGAGGGTTTCTGCTTCCTGGTGGGCTGATAATATATGAAAAGGACTAAACATCACTCTTGGTAGACTGGGTGCTATTCAACTGCAGTTGTTATTTGTTACCATGGGTATTTGTTATTAGAGACAAGTGCCATTAGCTACAGGGGAGTATGTCTGCCAATCACCATGTGACATTTTGGTTGTAACGAAAGCACCAGAAGAGTACTAAAGATGCAAATTCTGATAATTACTCCTCGTAACAACTGCTGGCTTTTAGTTTCTTTCTACTTGTAGGTTCTTGGAGTCTCAGTTTTCTTGTCTGCCCTTCTTATTCAGGAAGCCCGACAGGGGCCATTGAGATGGCTTGCTGACAAGCTGAGCAAGGTGAGTTTGTTCCCCAGAACAGAACCCAGGTAAACCCAGGTAAAAAGGAGAGAACTGGCGCCAGGACACATGAGCACCCGCCCATACACAAACACATGCACAGCGTTGCCTGTGTAAGAACGCTTGCATTGAAACACTCTGGCCTCAGCACCAGAGTGCCTGACCACTGGCCAGCTCAGGGGCCTGCCCTCAGTCTGGGCTCTTCCTGCCAGACACTGAGGAAAGCCTGGCATCCAGACTGAGAGTGCAGGTCAAGGCTGGCTTTCCAGTGTAAAGCCCTGCCTCCTTCTGTGGCTCTGGGAGGAAATGGCCGTCTCTTGGCCCACCCTTGATGCTAAGCCCCTTGTTCTACCATCTCCAGAAGAGAAAGTCCAGACATAATCTTCACTGTTCAAAGTTCCAAGTTCTTCCTTGGTTTTATTTTGTTGTTGGCACAGGGTCGCACATAGCCCATCCAGCTTCAAACTCAAGTTGTACCCAGGCTAACCTTGAACTCCCATTCTCCTGTCTTTATTTCCAAGGGCTAGAATTACTGGCACATGCCACCAGGCCTGGATAAATTCTTCCTTAGGTCCAGCCCTAAGTTTCATATGTTTGTGGGCTCTGTTTCCCACGGATGTGGAGATGACCGGCACTCTCCTTCCAGTGACTAGAAATTGTAATCCAACACACCCCTGCAGTCAGGACCACCTCCTTAAACCCCCTGCTGGCTATGTCCATCAGCAGGTGGACACCCCAGTGTGACTAAGCTCTACTCCAGGCTCTCGTTGGCAACTGGATCCTTCATCCTATGGTCCTGTCATCCCAGATGGAGTCCCTCCCTCTGCCAATAGCCATGACTCACACGCAGGTCAGCCACCACCAGGCTGCTCTAGCCTGTTGCTGCCTCTGCCTCTCTCACTGGCCCTGGCTCCCCTCCCCTGCACTCCTAGCTGGGAGTCCCCTTCTTTCTGTTGCTCTTCCTTCTGGGATCCTACCAGCCGCCCCACCTTGGGAAGCCTTGCTGTCATGTGAGAAGAAGCTTTGAAGTCACACTTGATCTGGGACTTGACTGCTAACCCAACCCGAGAGGCACTAGCTCTTAGATGGGAGTGACTTTTGCATCCCAGTTTCACCAACTTGCCTATCTGTCTGAGTATAACTCTGTTTCCTCATCTATAAAATGGCAGGAATAATGGTACATATTACCCAAGTCTGTTGTGGGGATTAAATCATTTCGTAATATTTCTTTTCTTTAAAGTCAGACATCTGGGCAGGTGGAGAGGACAGCTAAGCTAGAATCATCTACTACATTCAGCCTGGGTCTATGGGGCCAGCTAACAACACTATGTAGCTCTAGATGGTCTGGAACAACTAGGTTGGCCTGTACCTCACAGAGATCTGCCTGCCTCTGTCTCCACAGTGTTGGGGTTAAAGGCATGCGCCACCACACCTGGCCCATGCAATAATATTTCATTCTGATTTAGATTTATCTGGAAAGCCATCTGGGGCATAAATATGTATTAACAGCACTGTTACTGTTATTTTTCTTCATTATTAGCTATATAGCTTTGGGTCTAACTATTTCATCTTGTTGAACATCAATTAGCCTCATCTGAAAACTGGAAATAACACAGGTGTGGTAGCAAGCGCTCTAATATCCCCAGGAGTTTAAGGCCAACCTGGGTTGTATTGAGATCCTGTTTTTTAAAAAAGAAAAGAAAGCAACAAAGGAAATACATAAAAATGCCCACCTCTCTAGACTTTGCAGGATTAAGGAGTTAGTGTTTAAAAATCACCCAACATGGAGTCAAGTACATAGTAGGTCTTCAGTTTCCTCCTGTATCTGGGAACCCTCCTCTTGTCTCCCCTCCTTTCTGTGTGTTCTCTCCCTCTTCCCCCTGCAGTCACCTTCCAGTAAGAGGGAAATTTCCTGTATGGACAGCTGTTCTCCAGTCTGGGGACAACATGTGTCAACTCCCTGGGGTTTTATTCTGGCCTGTCCAGGGCCATGCACCCAGCAGAACCTTAGAAAATAAGCAGACCTTAACAGACTCACCCTAGCTTTCCCCATATCTCCTCATCTTAGTGACCACAAATATTTATTGAGTGTCTACAACCTCCTTCCTGGCCCTGGCCCCTCCCCTGCCAGCACTTTCTGACTATTCTATCCCCTACCCTGCCTGGCCTAAGGTGAAAAAGAACTAAGAAAGCCTGCTGGGAAAATAAGGTTGAGGGAGGGAGCAACCCAAGCCTTGAAATGAAGGTAAACAAGTGACTGGAAACTTCACTTGTTCCAAGTCCCACCTCTTGAGTATATGGCAAGGCCAAGGCCGAGTTTGGGGACCAAGCTAACAGGATGATTCAGGACTCTGTCAGTATGGCTGACTGTTGACTTGTCTCTCTCTCTCTGCCTCAGTTTCCTGTATGTAAAATGAGGGTAACACTGGTCCCGGTCCCACGTCTTTGAGAATGACACAAGGAGACTGTAGAGAACTTTTGTGCTCGGCTTAGTAATGACTCCTACTGTGTTCATTATGTGGGGGCAGTTCTGCCTTTCCAGGACAGGACTTCCCAACCCTTGTTAATCCATGACACATCTTTGGGCCTGACAGGCTACCTCCACCCGCACTCAGCGTGTGACCAATCCCAGCCTTCCATAATTGCCTGCATTCCTGATGTGTGTGCTCACACACATTCACCGTCATTCAAACACTCGTAAGAGACCTCACACTCCTTGAAGGCAGACCAGCTCAGTTTTTATTGTACTAATCACAGTGTGCTGCAGTATTTGTTTACACTCTCCAGCCCTGGTCTAGCTTTCCATCCCCAGTACCTAGAAAAGCTCCTGGCCCTCAAGAAATGTCGCTGGATTATCAACAAGTCTCTTCTGCCGGGTGCCTAGCACTGTGTCTGGTCTGAGTGAAGACAGATGGTATGGAAAAGCCCCCAGCCAGGCCTGCCCCCCTCTCTTCTCCATGGTAAGTTCCAGTTTCCAGACCCAAACTGGCAAAGAACATTGCTGAAACCCAAAACTTCAGAACCCACCAGAGCCCTTAAAGGTCAGAGACTTGGGCAGGTGGCTAAGGCAGCTGAGCGCAGCTCACCTGCAGGTGTCAGCCTGGGACTTGGGGGACATGGGACAAGGAGACTTTCCCATCCCCCTCTCCTACCCTTCATTCCACCACCCTGCTATGTACTCCACAGCACGGCAAACGTCCCTTCTATACAAAGATCTTATCCATGGCCACCGTACCTGCAAGACCTTGACCTCAGCTCGCTGGCCTTGCAGCTCCATCACCACTCTTGTTTGCTTTGGGGCTTGCTTGCTTTTGTGCTACTGAGGGTGGAACTCTGGGCCTCGTGCATGCTAAGCACATACTGTACCACTGAGCTGCCAGCCCCCCCCCGCCCCCACCCCACACACCGCACACACACCCATGGCACCCGGAACACAGCACAGAACCAACTGACCTGTAGGGGTTAAGGGTGCAGACAGTGACGGCAGGGAAGACCAGCTTGTCTGAATTGAGGTTGATGTTGAGGCTGACAGGGTAGCTGAAGTACTCTGCGAACAGCAAGGCAAACTGCCAGTACATCACGCCAAAGGTGCAGAGCCACAGCACTGCCCAGAAGGCCGTTTTCATGCGGTTGTGCTTGGAGCATACCAGGCGGATGGCGCCGTGGATGGTGGTATTGTTGCAGAAGAACTGGAAGAGCTCTCGGTAGGAGCGGTGGAACTCGATCAGTGCCTCCTCCTCCTCGGTGGGTTGTGGGGGCACTGAGGGTTCAGGGCCCAGGCCCTGCTCTTCCCGCTTGTCTCCTTTCCCCAGCCCTTGCATGGACTGAGAAGGACAAGGGTCTTGCTCCTTGAACTTGGTGCCCTTCATGGAGCCCTTGGGTGAGTTGGGGAGGTGAGGGGCTAGGTCAAGGTTGGGCTCGGGGCTCTGGTGTGGTCCAGCATCATCAGCATGAAGGTAGAACGGAGGTGCTCCTGACCGTGCCCGCATCCCCGGTTGAGTCCACTCTCCCCCAGTCCTCCCACCCTCCTCCACCTTTCCAGCAGCCAGCTGACCTTCTGGGGTTGGGGCCAACCAGGCTGCACTGAGCTTCTCTCGAATGGCCACAGAGCTTCACAGCCACCTTCGCTTGCCCGCTAGCGCCTCCTGGGTCTCCACGGGCAGGCACTCTGCCCAGCTCAGCAGCCTCTCCCTCTTGCCCTTTTCCTCCCTGACTGTGTGACTGGCTCCAGCTTTCACGCCCTCTTGGCCCAGCTGTCACCTGCTTCTCTTTGGGTCTCCCTCTCTGTGCCAGGCTCTCTGATCCCGCCTCACTTCCTCCCCTGCCTTCCCTATCTCCTCCTGGGCCCTCTTCTCTGGGCTCTAGCCCTGGCCTCCAGCTCCCTGCTACCTCCTTCTCTGCCTCAGGAATGGCAGGGCTGCAAGGAGGCCTGAGCTGCCGCCTGATCCCAGCTCCCAGGTGTGGCTGGGCAGGGGCTGGGT